GGCACCGCTAGCAACCGCACAGGGGCTAATGATATAGAGAGAATGGTATTACCAAAAAATACGACGGGGACTGGAATGGCCATTTCTGAATTATTCGCAGTCGTCTGCCAGCCATATCCAACCCCCAGTGCTGTCCCACCCGCTGTGCGGCTGCTAACGGGGCTCCAGAGTGAACTCGAAAGCACAACGGAACGAGTTTTTCCTGTGATCGATCGGCGAGTGTCTATCTGCTACTGTGTATATGTTTGTTCGTCCTTCATACAAGCAATTGCTAGACAGCTCCCCTCCTGTACGCATGTATGAAATTCCGCCCTGTGGACGTTACTATTCCTTCTCACCTGTATCTTTTTTTTTCGTTTTACAAGCCTGGCACCACTTCGCGTCTTCTTTCTTTTGTTTTAACTAATTGCTTGTGCATTTCGATAATTGTTTGAACGCCCCCTACCCCTTCTCTACTCTTACCTGCATTTTCGTGCTTCTTTGTTGACTCGTCACTCTTCGTCTAGGTGGTCCTCCTGCGCAATATGTGCGGTCCTGGTGAGGTTGACGACGATTTGGAACCCGAAACGGCTGAGGAGTGTGCTAAGTATGGCAAGGTGGTTACCTGCATGATCTTCGAGCTGCCCGACGCGGCGGAGGATGAGGCAGTTCGGATATTTGTCGAATTTGAAGAGGAACAGTCTGCTGTCCGCGGTACGTTTTCGTCCCCCCCCCTCCTGCGCCTATTGCAGCCTTGCGGATATTCTCATCCAGTATTGATAGACTATATGCGTCTTCTAGTACACCACCACCATCACCACTTCATCTTGTTCCTTTATCGTTACTTCATGAGGATGAATTGGATCTAATCCCGTATCATACTACTAGTCCGCATTAGTCGAGGCCGTTTAGACAGTGTTGTCCTAGACCGTAATGCTCACTATAACTTTTGAAAGTAATTAGGATTCTTGGCTGGAAGGCGCGCATACTACGCTAAGTCGGGCCACCAGCCACATCAAAGCATTCCACGTCTGGATACACCAATTTGCTCGATGGAGCAAACGTAGTTCATTTGGATCTTGTGACAACAGTAGTCTTTTGTATGTTTTAATAGTATCAGAATCGTACCATAAGTCGACAGTAGCTAAGGGACTAAAGGGGCTCATTTTGCATGATTAAGAAGACAAATTCGGTTGATGTTTTCCGCACGTGCGCAAAGTCGTGCACAAAACCTTGATCTTAAAAGCAGAAAAATTGTCGTTGAGCTCCAGGAACGCGAAACCTTTTTGGTACTTGAAGTTATTCGTATCACTTTTTCGTCCTTGCAAAGGAGAAAATTTTCGTGAAATGTTCGATTCCATTGTAGACGATGTGTACTTTTTGTCTTCGAGACCAACAACACTGTTCAGATTGAATGAATTTCCCTTCTGAAATGATTTTGTAAACCTTTTAGCAGGCTACCAATAAACCCTACATTTACGCTTAAGCCCGCCTTTTTGAAGTACGTGAAATACTAATATACCTGTTTGACCTGAAAGCGGCCTTACATGACCGCAAGAAGTTTCCGCGTCTTTGTGATTTTTTTTCTATACTGGTCTTTGCGTTTGATTGCTTTAGTCACAGATGACAGACTAGTAGGAAATT